TGTGCTTCTCATCTAGCTCTACTGTCCATGAAATCCATGGACAAAAGAATTCAGTCTATGCTGCCTTTGGTATGAATATAGTAACACTGCCTCTAAACATCCCATTTGAACCAAAACTTGGTAACTCTGTCTCATTCTCTTCCATCAAATGCAATACTTGGAATGCAGGAGAATGGTCACTGCATTCTTGCAATGGACTCTCAACTACCAAGGAGAGGCTTCACACCAGGTCTATCAGGTTTCTAGAAAATTACTTTTCAAGAATCTTCCTCTAGATGTGAGCAGAATCCTTCCACCTCTTGTAGAGGAGACCTCTAGTCATACAAACACTACAAATAAGAACCGGCCCATCCTCTGTGGGGGAAAGGGGTATCTAGCTGACCATGGGTTGGTTCCCTTAATGTTTCTTATTTACACTTTCCATAACGGCAACCAAACATTTCTAGAGAAATGCAGCCATATGCATATGCTTCAAAGTATTTAAAATGCATTTCCACAGGGGAAAGGGCCTTAGCTGTATACAATCAATCCCATTCCCCCTTATATTGAAAATCCACTTTCTTCTAAGACATTTTGATATTTATTGAGGTAAATGCTGTGCTTTTTTAAAATCCAAAAATGAGGTAGAATTTTTATATATCTATATATATAAATTCAGGCATCATGTATCACAGCAAACTGAATTCCGCTGCTTTCCTGAGGACTCAAGAAACCGAAACAGTGTCAAATGCAAGTACCAGTGTTTACCTTTCTACACAGCTCAAAACCGTGTGTGTGTGTGTGTGTGTGTGTGTGTGTGTGTGTGTAAGTAAAGATCTTTTAAAAAATCCTATTACCTTTTGGCACCATTTGGACATAGTCATGTTAAAAACAACAACAAAAAGAACAACACTACAACAGAACATGCTTTGGCACATCTTAATTTAAACCAGAACTAAATACAGGAATCTCCTGACCTTCAGAAGAAATCAGAGATATGGCTAAAATCAAGCAGAGATTCCTCTTCAATAAATTAAGTTTGGCTCAACTAACTAAAACAGACATCACCACTCTTAGGCCATTCTATTGGAAATTGCTATAAATCCCACTGCAATCTAATTAGCTTTAGAAATCATATAATTTATGGGATACTTCAGGGTACCATTGCATCCTATATTTATGGTATGTCCTAGGTTTCCTCGTTTTGAAAATTGGATATGGAATCCCTTGAGGTACTGCTGTTTAGATCATGAATTCTTACTGGGCTTAAAGCAGAAAAAAAGAGAAAACTCCTGAGTTAGCAAAACATTCAAAAGTTGATTTAGCATGGGGTAATCATTTAACAGAGATTTAACATTGGGCAGAGCTAAAAAAAACCCCAATGTGTATCATAATGCAGATTCAAATACAGTTAGTGCAAATCTAATTTAATCTAATAGAAAGTATTTTATGACCCCACTTTTGTGTCCCCATTTGAGTTGAACAGTGTGAACGACTGTGCTCACAGTTAAAGAGAAATCGCTATGTAAGACTCCCTGACTGTTCTACATTCCGTCTCTCTATATCCAAATTACCCAATAAGCCCATGAACATGAAACCAGATAGACTTTAAATGCTGTCAGTTATATATCCAATAAAAACCAAGCCCCTGAGGGGCATTTTATGTTGGCATTAAAGGTTTCCTGTATTATTACACTACTTAGCTTCATAGCATTATAAACACCTTTATGTCAGAAGCTACTCTAATACTTTTAAGTGGGATAACACGTGCTTTGCACTACCTTCTGTGGTAACTGGACTGAGATTCACTGGGTAGATAGACAGCAGATTTTAAAAATGTTATATATATGCAAGCTAGAAACATTTTTAGAAATACCCTTTTTGGTAGTTGTTCCTTTGTGCCAAAGCAGCAGATTTGTAGTTCTGCCAGCAGAAGTAAACAGCATATTCATGGAAGAAGAATAACAATGTTAACACCATTCTTCCTCATGTTTGTATGCAGCAAACACATTCAAAATCAAGACGTTCAAACAAGGATTCCACTTGAACCAGGGCTTGAAATCATGCAGCCTTCCAGGAGTTGGACTGCAACACTCACCAGCTTAAACAGTCTTGCCAATAACAAGGAACGTTTGGAGTTGCAATCTACCAACAAGGAGGACTTTATAATTCCTACCTTGATGCTCAATGGTAGCTGGCAGGAGGTGGGGAGAGAATGGCACAAATATCTCATCAGAAAATAGGGGAAATAATAAAAAAGGAAAAAAAGTTTGCCTAACACACAAGACACAAACACACACACACAAACAGGATTCTGCCAACTTACTCAATTAAAGCTTTTAAACCAATTATCTTTGGTAGTCATATCAGGAAAACTAACTTCTATCATTTTGAGTAGCAAATAAAGTTCTCGAACTAAAATGCTGTCACAATTCGATGATATGCTGGTCTCACAAAAAATGTGGACACAAGACTGGAAGCACAGCACTGTCTCCAGAGGTATATGGTGCTCAAGCCCCTCCTCTGACTGCAACCATTTTGGCCAAGCATTCTGCAAAAAGTATGCCAACTACCTTGTCTCAGAAGGTGAGGCGATGGGAGGATGACTATTAGTGTTCTGAGAGAAAAATAATACATCTTTCAAATATAATGCACAGAAATACGTTTTTGGTGTAGGTGAAGATATTAAAGCCATGTCCACTGAGTCCATCTCCCTACACAGTAAAGCTTCATCAACTACATCGCCTGGAGCAGTCTCCAGCATCATTACTTCTGGCAGACTAGCAGGGCAGTGGTTCTGTCTAGTCACTAGGCTAGCTCAGGCATGGGCAAACTTCGGCCCTCCAGGTGTTTTGGACTTCAACTCCCACGATTCTTAACAGCGTAACAGCCGGTAGGCTGTTAGGAATTGTGGGAGTTGGAAGTCCAAAACACCTGGAGGGTCGAAGTTTGCACATGCCTGGGCTAGACAGAATCACTGCCCAATTAAATAATCTAAGTCTGGATTTGTCCTTTAAAAATAATGTACTGCACACCTAAAAGACTGGCATCCTCTTCATGGCATTCTTTACATCTACACCTCTCTCTCTCTGTTCAATGAGAAGGTTGGCATTCCCTCCCTCGATACTTACCAAAGGCCCTTCAGGCCTACTGAAACCTTGACCCCTGTGCCTTCAGAGAGTGGTGGCCATGTCCCCACAGCCAGATACAAAATAACTCTTTGAGACCTTCAGAGATCTCCAGCAGTAGTAGTCATGTTGTGACTGGCTATAGAGACAAAACCAGATGCTTCTCCCATCTCCCACTGTTCTTATCTGGCACATACAGGCCATTATAGCTTCACCAGTTTCTAGGTCTAAATAAGGGTCAGTCCATTTACAGGCCATACAGGGTTGTGGCCACTGTCTGTAAAAATATTTCTGATGTTCACTGAAATAGGGTTTCCACAACATGTAGAAACACAATGTTTACAACTAACACTAGAAATGCTAAGTCAGTTCAAAATCTCATCAATTCTATCTCATTTCTGGAGCATATGATTAGCCAGAGGAAGAGTCATAAGCTCTCAGCTTTGCATATGCCACAGTCCAATTCAAGGACAGAGAACTGAGCAGCTTATAGCTAAACATTGCTCTCTAGAAAAGCAAGGAAAGTGCAACTCACAACATCTTTGTTTGCACAGAAACCCTTGAATACATATCTCTGGGCAGAGTTAGCTGGCAAGCATTTCTGCCTTGATGTTATATCATCATAGCTCACTTTTCCTTGCTGATGATGTTGCAGGATGAATATAAAAAGGAGAAAACTCTCACTGCTGAAATGAAAACATTCAGACCATATTATCAGCACTTCAGATCTCCAACCAGGAGCCTAGAGGAGACATAATAACACAAAACAAATGTGTCTCCTGGTCTTGGCATAGGTCCTAAGCACCCGAGCTACAATCCATCACACATTTGCTCCAGAGCAAATCCCTAATTCCAATCCAAAGGACTTGCTTCTAAAAACATGTAGTTTAAAAGGGCATCATGCAAACTGGTGAGAATAATGACACACAGAAGGAATCACATTCCTATGACTTGGGACAAAAAGTTCAAATCTGAAGCTTCTTGGAGAAGTATAAGAATCCACAACTTTTTCAGTGCTAAACTTTGTGGATGACAAACTCACTAGCTTTGTTCTTAAGATACTGCACCCCCATTTTACATGGCATTCTTTGGCGCTGGAACAATTGAGGTAGGGTTTAGGGTGGCTTCATTTCCACAATCTCTGCTGCAACAGAGGAAGGCTACATGGGTGGATATCATTTGCCGAAGTTAAATTTAAGGGGGATTGTTGAGGGAGAGGGCTGAGGAAGGCAAAAAACCAGAAGATTCGTTACTATGAAAATGTTTTCCTTCATCTGGCATTTCTGAAACACACCCTGAATATCCAAAATGTCTGCTACCTGTTATTTAGACCAGGAAATATACATACATATATATATACTACTCTTGATAGAGTAACACCTTTACAAAACAGAATTCTTCTACTCAACATTTCAAAACAGAAGAAAGGGGAAACTAGGCTGAAACATTTGACTCACTGTCTATCATTATATGTTGTAACTGCCACAGACAGGCGTAGTGTAAAGGGAAGTGAATCTTTTTTGGAAAACAAAATCCTGAAACAAAGACCATGAGAAAAATACTAACTCAAAAGTGGAGTCCTCACTCACTTTTGACTAACAACCACTCCAAAGTCTCCTTTTGAAATCAGGAAGAGCTTATATTTGTGCATTAGAGTTTAATTAACCTTTCCTTACACACTCGGCCAAGGCAACAGCTCCACAAGCTGCCAATTGAGGTAACTTTTGAGGATCCCTAATTTGGAGAACCACCTTGTCCAGCAGCAGTACATAGGGCCGCTTTCCCTCCACATGAGCAACTCCTCCTGGGTCCTCCTCACACATGGATTACATTCACCATGTCACTCTTTCACCAGAGTCCAAAGCCACCAAATAAGAAGTTAAGCATATAACATTTTGTGCATTCTTAAATGGTTGCCTTCGTCTTGTGGAGTTACTGCATTTCTCTTTTCAAAATATACATGCAAACAAATAAAATTAAACAAGAACCTAAACCCCCGCGCCCCACCACCCCAGTGAATCCCACCCCACTTCAAAAGACCAAAGCCTTCTGCTAACAAGACACTATGTCGAACAGTATGTCAAATGCACTGAGGTATTTAAAAAAGGAGAACAAGGAAAGAGTTCTCTGCTGCAGCAGCACCTAAAACACACAATCTCCTTTACTCCCCCCTCCAAAAAACAAAAAAACCCAACCCACAATATGAACAGAACACAAGAGCATTAAAAATACCTAACACTACTATTTTTTTCTTTCAAAGATGAGAGTGTGCCTTCTTGGCAGAACCTACAGAATTTATCATATAAACCAGCTAAATGTGCACAGAAACATGTTTTTGCATTAATGTCCCATCCAGGGAAAAGAGGCTTAATTTTCAACTGCACCGTGTATACTGTGGAGGTAAAAGAACACAAAGATAATGAGGTAGATAAGAGTTCATAACAACACCACAGGTCCACTCCCTGCAGATAAAAAGGGAAAGTACATTCATCTATAAAAAATTAAAGATGAGGTAGGTTTGAACTAACATTGTAATATTTTGTGTATGTGTTTGTGTGTGTTCTCTTAAAAGGATTTTTCCCTGAGACAGACTTTTTGGAGTACAGATAAACACAGATTAGAAAACGAGAATTCGATTGTTTCCAAAGTCAACCACAACAACCATGCCGTCTGGGGTGACTGTAATACCTGAAGGACGGTCCATCTGACCAAAGCCACTTCCCTGAGTGCCAAATTTGCATAAAAAACTACCATTCGGCTCAAATATCTGCACACGATGGTTCCTGGAATCTGCCACAATGATACGGCCTTCCTGATCAACTGCCACACCTTGTGGGCGCAAAAACTGCCCGTTGCTCGTGCCTTCAGACCCTAGGAAGCGGGCTGACTGACAGTCTGGATGTATGACCAAGAGACGATGATTGTTGAAATCTGTCACAACTAGATGGCCTTCGTGATTGAACGTCACACCTCTCGGGGAATCAAAGTGCTTCCAGAGTGCTCCTTCAAAGCCATACTTATTCAGGAACACTCCGTCAGGACCAAAAAGCTGAACCCGATGATTCCTTGTGTCGGACACCAGGATTTTTCCCTCAGAGTTTACTGCTACATCCCATGGGTAATTGAACTGCCCGTTCTTGGTTCCTTTCTCCCCAAATTTCAGAATGAACTGGCCATCGAACGTGAAGATCTGGATGCGATGATTGTCCTTGTCTGCCACTATGATCCTTCTTGATGAGTCTGAGGCAACACCAGCAGGCCTATCAAACTGGCCGGGCCTGGAGCCCAAGGTGCCAAACTTATGGTGGAAAGCCCCACAAGGCTTAAAGACCTGGATGCGGTTATTGCTTCGATCAGCAACAATGATATAGCCTTCTTTATCTACACTCACACCCCAGGGGCGGCACAACTTCCCATCACCATCTCCCTCACTAGCAAAACAGAGCCCTGGCAGTCCAATACCAACATAGCTGCGCCCTGATTTGACAGTGACTTTGAACGGGCTGTTTTCTATATGCTGGTTGCACATCATGATTGAAATGAGGTGCTCCCCTTCCATTTGTGGCCTGTAATTGACAATATAGGTTCCATTCTGCTGGTCACCAATATCTGCCCCAAAGAGATTCCCATCTGGCCCCATGATGACAGCAGAGATCATGTCTCCCCCAGAACGGCGCAGCTCCCCATCGTGGTCATAGCCAATCACTGTGAAAGAGGCTACTTTGCCTTGAAGTGCACGTTTGAGACCTTCCCCAGTGGCTTTGGTCAGAGGAGCAAAGGCCCCACTGCTGACAAACCCCATGGACTTGATGGCCATATACAAAGCCTGATCGGGAGGCGTGAACATGACCCTGTCATCCTCTTGAGGCTGCAGGAAGCCTCTGACATTCTTCAGCTCCTGAACCTGAGCAAGCATCCGGTCCCGAGCCAAGAGGATATCCATGTTCCGACCCTCCTCTAGGACTTGTTGGACGGCACTGATGGTGTTGTCTAGCTTGTTCAGGTTTTGACGCAGCTTTTCCACCTGAAGGTAGAGTGACTTCGCTTTCACTTGGCGGATTTTTTCCACCTAGAACAAAGATCATTGCATACATATAAACTATCAACGATCACATGGAAGCATCTGTACATAGGCGCATGCATACATATATATTTGGAGTTGTGAGTGATATAAACATATTTCTGATGGTTTTGTCTTAAAGATGTAGATAAGTCATATTTGTAGAATGTGGAACAGTTGTCTTGCCAAATGCATCACTACAGTGATGACAGATATAAGGTTCAGCAATCGTTGGGTTAAATGGACCACAGAAATTGGAGCACAGGTGACAAGTGCAAAGTCGATCCGTTTTTACTCCTCGGTCTAATGAAGAAGAGCCAGGGGCTAAAAGAAAATATATTTTCACTAAGCTTAACAGACTGCACACATTGCCGTTGGAAGTTGTCTGAGCTGACATACATACCAAAATCAGTCAGAAGCACATGAATGAGGTAAAAGTGCACTCTGAAGAGAACAAGACCACTTAAGATGTTTTGAATGGTGTAAAAGAAACCTGCTGTGAGAGGAGCTGACCATGCAAATAAAGGTTGTCTTAATGAGCCCCATTTCTAATAGAAGTAATAGCCATTTACCAGCTAAAAAGTTACTCAGCTCTAGATTGTTCCTATATGAGGGTCTGAGAAGATGCAAAGTCCATATGTGTGAGTCAGACAAAACAGGCTAATGCAGGTGCTTCTAACCCATTAGCTGAGAAATTCATTTTTCCTTTGACTATATAAACAAATATACTTTGAATGTTTATTAATCTTTTATTTTTACCTTCCACAGCAGTTCACATTCTCTTTCTTCTAAGGCCTTCTTGTGTCTAGATGTCACTGCCTTCACTTCAGATTGTACCATCTTGGCCTTCATCTCAACTTGTTCTGCTACAGCTTGGGCCTGCTCAATACTCAGCTAGAATGAAAAGGAGAAAAAAAAACATTGCTTGGTTGAGGAAGGAAGGAATAATATACCACCCGGGCATTAATCATGTAACCCAATGTTTTTAGAACAAGTATAAAACGATGAGCTTACATTTTGAGACATTGTGTGAGAAATAATTATGGAACACTAATAGCTGGAAAATACAGCACTGTACGCAACACTTACAAATGTATGTCTATTCTAATAAAATAATAGTATGAAAGCCTACAAGTTTATACCCACGGGGAATCCATTATTTCCTTGGAGAACTGTAGAGAATAACAATTTGTTAGTGAAGCAAATATCTGTTTATGTAGTTTTCCAATCTAAATAAAAAAAGATTGGGGGTGAAAGAACCTCATAGAATAATTTCAGAAAGCGTGAAAGTTGGTGCATGATCCTCCTTTCCAGGTTTAGGATTAGCTTCCCAGCTTGCAGATGTTCCTTCACAAAGATGGAAATTCCACAAGTTCATTTAGTATCTCTTATCCAGAGACCCACTGAGCAACTGAGTACCAGGCTTTGTCAGAAAAGTCAACCAGTGTGAATAGATGACTCCTCTTTGGTGCATTCAAAAGATCAAGTGTTTCTTTAAAGAGGCTCCATCAGGAGAACAGATACATGACATTTTAAAAGGTCTTTTTAACTAACAAAGTAAAAATACTGCCTCCTTATTTATATGATCTACCAATAGCACACAGCAGAAAATACAGCAACTGTCTCAGCTTTCTCCCTTTAATATACAGTTGTTTTATTCATGTAGAAAATTCAAGCTTTTCCTGAACTGTATCCTTCAATATGTGAGGATTCACATGTTTAAAATGAGTCCCCAAAGGCAGATAAATTGAAACCTTCCTATTGTGTAGAAAACGAGCATTTCAGGCAATAATTTATCCTAAACTTCTCTTTTGTGTGTTCTTCTTTTTCTAGAAGTTTGCATGGTACTTTCAAAGTGTGGAAATCCCTCTACTCTGCACCCTAAAGTGGAAGTAGTCCAGGATAAGTTTTATCACTTTGTTCATCTGTATGCATAAAATGAGCAAATATTTGGAGAAAGCTTATGCTGTGTTTTGATCAAAACAGCTGTAATGACTTATCCATATTATCTTTTTTGAAATGGTGATACGTTCTTTCTTATGCTTTCTTCCTCAGGACAATACTCAGGCTTTGCATTCCTTAGAGGTGTTATCCATATCCCATTACCAAAAAGAGATGTGGCAAATGGGAATTATAATTAGAACAAGCTGAAGTTAGGCCAAACAAACCCAAAACCAAACATGATTTAGTTCTACATTCAAATGAGGTCAATAAATAATATCAATATAGATTTATCGGTGTGTGAACTTTATCTCTCAGTAATGTTGGATGAATTCCTAACCAAGTTCCTACATGTTAAGCAATTAACTGATATTAGCCATGTAGGTTGAAGTTTCTGGGAGCTGAACTCCAAAAAAGCCTGTGCATCAAAGGTGGCAAGCACCAATATTAACTTTTCTGAGAATCTACTTCTTTGATTTTAAAAGAAACCTCTCATCTTCATAATTTCCCCCCTAAAGTAATGATGTCTAGCATTCAGGGATTGTAAGTGCACATACTCTAATACTCTGAAGATCCAAATGCTTTCTTCTTTTTTGTTTTTTTAAGTGATTTTATTAACTCTAGTGCCAGCAGATGGGGCTGTTTGGTGAAGGAACAGAATTTTTGTGTTGTAGAAGGCTTTCATGGCTGGAATCACTGGGTTGCCGTGAATTTTTCAGGCTGTATGGCCATGTTCCAGAAGCATTTTCTCCTGACGTTTTGCCCGCATATATGGCAGGCATCCTCAGAGGTTGTGAGGTCTGTTGGAAGCTAGGCAAATGGAGTTTATATATCTGTGAAATGTACAGGGTGGGAGAAAGAACTCTTGTCTGTTTGAGGCAATTGCAACATTCACACTTGCCTCAAACAGACAAGAGTTCTTTCTCCTCCTCTGGACATTCCACAGATATATAAACCTTACTTGCCAAGTTTCCAATAGACCTCACAACCTCTGAGGATGCCTGTAGGTGAAACGTCAGGAGAGAATGCTTCTAGAACATGGCCATACAGCCCAGAAAACTCACAGCAACCCAACCGTTTTTTTCATTTCAAAATCCTGTGAAAATATATACAGAAATTCACATAGCAAACAGGATAGTGACAATCTTTCCTAAGTACTGATGATCCAGGAGGCTTATGTGCCTCTCACCTTCCATTTCAAAAAGCAGCAGAATATGATCTATACGATAAAATATGCTCCTGACTGTAATTTTTTTTCCATTTCAAGATGAGCTAGATCAGTTAAACCTATTCAGAAGCATACGTCTAGGACACAAGGCTGAGTGTCTATCCTTAAACAAAAAGAAATCAGTTTTTGATTGTTTATCATTATAAAGGAAATAGTTCTGATGCACGAGTTTCTGAAACACTGAGATGACTGGATCACTTCCCACAAACCATACTGTGGAAACACATTAGAGGCACTCATGTTTTGGCTTCTGTCATCAGAGACTTATTATAAAGATACTTCAGGAGGATTTGCAAGATGATGAGAAAATGAAAAATAGGACCCATGTTACACATGTTTATTGAAACGTTTGCAGTTTGGATCATCTCTCGGCAAAAGTATGATAGCTGGGACCCTACGAACTCTACGCTGGTTGCGCAACAAGCATCAGAATTAATGAAGGGAAGTCGCAGATGCTGGGGCTGCTTTCTTTCGAAGGGGAGAAAGTGTGCTGGTGGCCAGGAGAGATTTTTTACAAAGCCCTAGTGCGAACAGAGTGGCAGGAGCCGGATTCCCCCCGCCCACTTTCTGACAGTGGAGGAGCTGGTGCTCCGGGAGGCCAGGACGTGTGAGACGTAGACCCCCCTCCTCCTCCCTCCCTCACAGTTGTGTCTCTCACTCGCTGCGCTGTCTCACGCACATCTTTCCTTCAGGAATTCTGACCTGCAGTGCACAACCAGTGTAGGGTCTCAGCTATCATATTTTTGCCCATCTCTCTAGGTTCCTTTCGCTATCCCTTCCCCTTGAAAGCAGTGACAAAGAGAAGATGAATCAACAGTCTAGTTATTGCAAATTTTCAAGTTTCTCACAAAACAATTTAGCTTACATGCATGTGTAAATCTTCAGTTGGAAACCTTGGTGCCTTAGGCTAGTAAGATAGAAAGAAACTGGTATTTTTCCACGGAGATAGAAATTAATGTATTTCCCTTTATCTTGTGCCTTAGCAGTTTGGTGGGATTTAAATAAATGCTGTTATCTATAAATCAAAGCATATTTGGCTGTGATTACTTTTATTTATATCCTTCTCCACTCATGCACAACTTCCAAATTAACTCTAAGCAGCTTGAATTTTTTTTTAAAAAAAAATAAAAAATACAGAACAGTACAAATTTAAAAATACAGAAGAGTACAGTACCGGCATGGTGGGTGATGACCTGCTCAACCACACTGCTCAAAGTTGACCATATAATCATTCCAGAGGAAGTTGAAATGCTAGAGAGGTGTCCTCTCTAGGCATTTTAGCAGTCCTATTGTATGCTTCTAAATGAAGTTTTTCATCTGTTTTTATCTGTGATTTCAGATTTTCACATTAGGTCCAGGAATGTTTCCTGTGCAGATATGGAGGTCGGACTGTACCACAATAGTTTTGTTAATCCTTACAGTTCCATGCATCAGAAGATCTACTTATTTGGAAGCTTCATCATTCGGTATGCATTGATAGTGGTCTCTTTGTGACCCAAATGAAAACAGAAGCCAACTGTAGGAGCAGGATTTTAAAGGTGCAGTATGCATTAAATGTAAAAATTATTGACTGATTACTACTACTGTGATTAATTGTATTATCTACTGGCAACTGATACAACAATTCATCATACATACCAGGCCTGGGGAATTTCAGAACCAACGGCAGTGGTTCTCAACCTCTAGGTGTTTTGGATTTTAGTTCCCACAATTCCTAACAGCTGGTAAGATGACTGGGATTTCTGAGAATTGAAGTCCAAAACACCTGGAGGACCAAAGGCTGGAAACCACTGCGAATTTTCCCCATGCTAAGTGTACACTCACCTGAATGGCTTGACGTCCCTGTTGAGCATCGGCTAGTAGTTGAATGGTTAGCGTTCGAGAGTCCTGCAAAGCATCTTGGAGGTAGATAAAGCTGTGACCCACATGCCGTTCCATGGTACATTCCCGGCAGATGGGGACAGAACACGTGTCACAATAAAAATGCAATACCTGCAAGAGAGAAGGTTTAGGAAAATGTGTAAGAAGAGAACCACGTATTAAAAAGTTGCTTAGTAATTATAAAAGTCCCACAGCAATGCATAATCCTAACAACAATTATCACCTGTAAATGGGGGTGGCCTAACAATGGCACCAGAAACTTCTCTTTAGAAACCAAAGTTACTAATTTGAATAATAATCCAAGGAAGCGATTGAATATCTTTGAATATCAATTCTCCCATTATGATGTATATCCTCTTGCTTTTATATGCATTGAAAGCATTCCTGCTTCATTCTTCATTTTGTTTTCAGTAAGCCATCTTCAAACAGGCTATTCAAAAAACTTTCTCAAAACCCTGCATCACAAGGATATATTTATACACTAGTAAATTATAAGACCCATCATGGCACTACATTTCATTTGTAGTGGTGAGGCTGCACGCTCCCATGAGGAAAGAAGATATGCTGATGGTAGCACTGCAAGTTGCTTCTGGTGTGAGAGACTTGGCCATCTGCAAGGATGTTGCCCAGGGGATGCCCAGATGTTCTGATGTTTTACCATCCTTGTGGGAGGCCTCTCTCATATCTCTGCATGGAGAGCTGGAGCTGACAAAGGGAGCTCATCTGCTCTCCCCCAGCTTTGAACCTCCGACCTGTCAGTCTTCAGTCCTGCCGGAACAACAGTTTAACCTATTGTGCCACTGGGGGCTCCTACTATGCATTATTTGAAAATAAATATTCAGTGATTTAAGCATGGACAATTTGTGAGCCACCAGATATTATTGTTCTGCTACTCTGAACTATCTTAGCTAGTTTAGCCAATGGTAAGGAATTATGGGAACTATAGTCTATCACCTTCTGAAGAGCCACAAGTTGCCCAGTCTTGCTTTAACTTTTTTTTTCGTGTCAGGATTGGCTTATGGCAGTTTTACATTTATCCCCAGAGAAACACAAGTAGTTCAAAAGGCATAGAGTTTGAAACAGTGGGTAAGGGTCAACCAGAAAAAAAAGATAATTGCACCAGACATTCCTGAATGTCACACCCAAAAATTAGTTCCTCTTTCAAACAAATGGGTAGGTCAGATATTTTCTCCAATGCATCATGTTTAGCCAAACATACTAGATGGTGAGAGGAATTTGGGAGAATGCAATAAATGTCGGTATTCTTTTTGAAAATAATTCTAAAGATACTTTATGAAATCTACGTTATAATTCAACCCCATGACGTCCCTAACCAAAACACAATCCACAGAGCAATGGTTTTAAAAAAATTATATGTGTGCTGGTGAAGAAACCTTAACAAATATTCAGGATTCTACAAAGCTCGCTGTTGCCCTTTGTTGGGAGATAGCTGTATCCTGCTTTGCAACACACTTCCACTGAAGAGTGTCCCATCAAGAAAAATCCTCTTACTCATTTTTAAAGCACTGTAGCAGAAAGAACTTGAGGCCGACCAGCCATTGAGTCACATGAATATCACACAATTCTCCTGGTTGTTAAAAGTATCACTCCCACCCCCACCCTGCTTCTCTCTCTAGTCAAAAGGGGCCAGCAGAAGAGAAAATGGCGTCAATATGAGCAAGGGTTCAGCCTCAAGCTAAACCTACTATTAACCCGCTGAAACAGTTAATGCCAGAAGCAAAGCTAGGTCAAAGGCCAGAGAGCAGTCCTGTCATGCACATCCAGATGCTGCTTTCTGCAAGAATACAAGGCACAGTGTAGGAGGCACCAAGCCACAAAAGAGAGGGAAAAGTAATCAAAACAATTAACAGATTGTTAAAGAAATCCTTTCGTCCACTGACATATCAAGCAACGCTAACTCAAAAGCAGAAAGGTTTTTAATTCAATGCCAAATATGTTTGTTTATTTAAGATGAACTTAGCATAAAGGAAGGTTTTTTAAAAAAAAAATTAAAACATCTTGACCATAAAACTGGTTTTTCAAGTTGCCATCAGGAGTGCAAGGAACTCTTCCTAGGCTACCTACTGGAAATGTCTCCAATAATAACTGAGTTCCTTTAATCACAGAAGGCGGTAATAGGATAAGATATGTTGATCTTAAGGTTCTGGGGGTGTAGTGGGCACCAGGGGGAGAGTAGCCATTTGGCATGCCTGCTTTCTCCATTTCCCAAATTGGTCTCTCTCACTCTGACCAAAGGCTCAAATGCCATTAAATTGTTTGCAGTGTTATTTTAAACTGACCTTCCTCAGAGGCTGGGTATGTGCCTTCCTCTTCTGGAAATTAATAACATTTGGATCTCTCCTCTCAAGTTGCTGGGTTCTGGTAAATACCTGTGATTTTCTGCTATCTGCTGCTGAGAATCCCAACCACATGTTTTATGCCCTCAACCCTGGGAGCTCATGCATGTGCCAATTACCACCCAACATTTCAAGCACTTCCACAGAAAAGAAAACAGGAGTAACTCTGTTCCCCAGAGAAGGGAAGGAAATGTCATTCCAGTCATGTCACTCCAAAATTTAAAGGTGCACGCACACATGTTGGGCATGACCCTGTAAAACCTATCAGTGGGGAATGAAAGCAGATTAACTGGTTCACTCCCACCCACCAATGACCTTCTTCAAACGTCCAACAGTGAGGGAGCATTATTTTATTCCTCCATCCATCTGCCTTTGACTTAGAAGCAGAAGGATAGCAAGGAATGGGAGACCAACAGCCCTCCAAATGTTATCATATTATAATTTCCACCAACCAATTGCTAACCTGACTTGGATTGATGGGAAGTTGGAAGCCAAAGCAACTGGAGGAAGAATGCTTTTCCAAATAAGAACTTCAATGGATTCTGACTAAACAATGGCTTTAATTATCAACCTAAAGAGTAAACTCTTACAACTGTTTATTATCTTGCAGGAATGTCAACTGTTCTTTTAAAATCATGGACAGAAGGCAGAAATTGGTTGAAAAGTCATGAACGTGTGCATATCTTTATAAAACGAAACCATGCAAGAGTCTATAGAAATGCGAACCAATAGAACACCAATCTTTTAAAGCACAGGTGGACAACTATGGTGGGCATGGAGGCCAATTTTCTTCCCCTGGAACCCTGGAAGAGTGGTTGGGTATCTCGCACAGCTGAAGGTGGCCACTTCTGGTTTTGAAAAAATTGGTGTTTTTAAGATGTAAAATTGGGGGGGGGGGGAGGAGAGACTGAAATTTTATGTTAAAGATGGATTGTCTCAACCTTTACTTTCTTAAGATCACTTAGTATTTAAGGTGCTATCACATTTCTTTCCTCCTCTTCCTTTGTTTTTATGCTGCAAGAAACTTAGATGGCATTTTTTCTGAAAACTGCAGTTATTGTGTGAATGTGCACCTGAATGAGGACCTTTCCACACAACCCTATATCCCAGAATATCAAGGCAGAAAATCCCACATTATCTGGAGTGTGGACTCAGATAACACAGTTCAAAGCAGATATTGTGGGATTTTCTGCTTTGATATTCTGGGATATAGGGCTGTGTGGAAGGACTCTAAGAGGCATTATTTCAGTATAGAAAATAACTATTATAAAATTATGTAATACTACCTTGATTATTTAAGAAACTTAGCATCTACTTTTTAAAATACGTGGAGATAGATAGGTATTTTTAAACTGCACTTTACAATATTATCCCCAATTTAAGTTTTTTCTGTCTTGCTTGGGCCAGGCCCACCACCCCATAAAACAAAGCAGATATCCAGCCTTCATAGTTACACATGTGACTTCAGTTGTTTTTTGTAGTTATGTGCCTTATGGCGACTCTAAGATGGCCCTATCATGGGGCTTTCTTGGCAAGATCTGTTCAAAGGGTCATTTATATTCGCTTTCCTCTGAGGTTGAGAGTGTGACTTGCCCATGACAGTCCACTGGGTTTCCATGGAGAAGAAGAGATTTGAACCCTGCTCCTTAGACTCCTAATGCAACCCTCAAACCTCATATTATTTTGGTTGTATGCCTATAGCTGGAGAAACAAAAACAGATAGCTCGGAACGTTCAAGAAGCAAAAGCTAGTTAATTGGCTGGAAAGAGCCATTTTCACTGAATAAGCACTGAATGGTATATACAAAACTTAGAACTTCACATTTTAGGAGCAGTCTGTAGCTTATGACCTTTACAAGACAGACTGCTATTTTTACTTGTTCTTAGCATTCATGTTGCTTTTTCACAGTTGCCTTTCTATTTATTAAAAATAATACAATTTGACATTGCAGAATTACTCCCTAAAGCACACTGTATAACAAGCTCTCAAGTCATGTTAATAAAATTGAAACATTGAATTATTAATATAACTAAAAACTGAAAATTACCACTTTTCAGAATGGATATCAAAAATGGAGTATATTACAGATAACACTGGCACTTGTAACATTTTACCTTTAAACTCCAGAGAAGGATACTCAATTTATGTAAAGATGATGCAATAGAAAAGAGACAAAAAGGAATTTCTAATGTGCTTTATGTGTCTCAACTAAAATGAAGAAAGTACACTAAGTACAATCTAAAGAATGTCCCTATAGAATGTAAAGACTAGGAAAAGCCAGATTTGTAATACCAGTATGTCTACTCTAAGGCCCCTTCCACACAACTGAATAAATTCCCCCAGTTTCTGCTTTGAATTAAAATATATGGCAGTGTGCACTCAGATAACTCAGGGACTTTCCACACAGCCCTATATCCCAGAATATCAAGGCAGAAAATCCCACAATATCTGCTTTGAACTGGGTTATCTGAGTCCAAACTCAGATAATGTGGGATTCTCTGCCTTGATATTCTGGGATATAGGGCTGTGTGGAAAGACCCCCAATTCAAAGCAGATATTGTGAGATTTTCTGCCTTGATATTCTGGGTTATATGGCTGTGTTGAAGGGCCCTAAGTGGGGGTCAAAAAAACTGTGGCCTGAAACCAGGGACACTTATAGTGAAGAATGCAAAAAGATAGTATTGATAGGCAAAAAGGAAAAAAATTGCTCTAAAAGACATGGGAGCACGCTTTTTCCCTTTCAGAGGAAGCCAG